TCCTATACATGCATACCTATGATAAAGGTTAATGTATAAATTAAGTACAATAAGAGATTAACAATAATAATAAAATAGGACAATTGTAACAATATTCTATTCACAGTTTCATGGGTAGAAGATTCATTCTTACCAAGATATTAGCAGCCTCAGCATATGGGTTTTTTTCTTTCCTTATTAAGTCAATTATTTTTACCTTTTCACCTGAAGCATTTTATAGCTTCTCTTCAGCATATCCAAATTGCCAGCAACGCCACTCTTGCACTTTGGGACCATGATTAAGTAAAATAAGGGTGACTTGAACACAAGCACAGCAATATTGTGACAGTTGATCTGATAACTGAGAGGGCTACTAAGTGACTCACAGGCGGTACCATAGACAGTGCGGATCTGCTGCACCAAGGAATGAGTCACTTTCCAGGTGGAAAGGGGTGGGATAGTGTGAGATTTCATCTCACCACTCAGAATGGTTTGCAATTTAAAACTTATAAATTGTTTATTTCTGGAATTTTTCATGTCATATTTTTGCACTCGGGTTGACCATAGGCAACTAAAACCATGGGAAGTGAAACTGAGGATGGGGGGTACTATCGTAAGACGTTCTACAGAAGAAAAATTTTGGACAGCTCTTGATCAGACATTGTGCTGAAGAAAATGTGCCAGTTCTGGTAGTGAATGATGGCTTTACTCTTCATATGATAGGAGACTGATTATTCTAACCCAAGACGGTGGGCTTAAGGATATGCAAATTCACCTAATGACTGTTGGCCAGGCACTATCATTTGGTGGTAAAGTCTGGGCTTTGTAGTCAGGCAAACAGAATTTGGAAATGTATTAAATCATGTGCATATTCTTGAATTTCTCTGAGACACAGTGTGGCCTTTTATAAAATGGGGAGAAACAGTGCTCAGAGGGTTCAGGTAATTTGCCCAAGACTAAATAGCTAATAAGCAGCAAAGTCAGAATTTAAATCCAGTGCTCTGATTACAAAGCCTCTACTTCCATTATGCATGTTTCTATTTTTTATATAAAGTTTTGAAATAATTT